TGTTCTCCCACCCGTCCCTACTGAAACCAGCCTCTCTCCAGCCTCTTTGGAACCCCCCTTCAGGGAGTTGAAGGCTGCTCTCAAATCCCCCCTCACTCTTCTCTTCTGCAGACTCAACAAACCCAAATCCCTCAGCCCCTCCTCATAGGTCATGTGCTCCAGCCCCCGAATCATTTTGGTCGCCCTCCACTGGACCCTCTCCAATGCGGCCACATCCTTTCTGTAGTGGGGGGCCCAGAACTGGACACAACACTCCAGATGTGGCCTCCCCAGAGCCGAATAAAGGGGAATGATGACATCTCTGGATCTGTTGGCAATGCTCCTCCGAATGCCCCTAATATGCCATTCGCTTTCTTGGCTACAAGGGCGCCTGTTGACTCATCTCCAGCGTCTCATCCACTGTAACCCCCAGGGCCTTTTCTGCACAACTGCTGCTTAGCCAGTCGGTCCCCAGCCTGTACCAATACTTGGGATTCTTCCGTCCCAAGGGCAGGACTCTGCACTTCTCCTTGTTGAACCTCCTCAGATTTCTTTTGGCCCAATCCTCCAATGTGTCTAGGTCACTCTGGACCCTGTCCCTGCCCTCCAGCGTATCTACCTCCCCCCTTAGTGGAGAACAAGGTGGCTCCATGGACATTTCCAAGAACCTCCCAAGAACATGGGGCAGCCAGGAAGAAAACACGAAGGGTGAAGGAGCGAGGACATGGAGCACAAAATGGCACCAGTGGTTGAATCTCCCCCTTTGTCCAACAGGACAGCGAGGGAGGGGCTGCAGACCCCCGCTAAGAGGCCACATGACCTCGCAGGAACACAGGGACCAAAGTGACTTCGGAGGAACCTGGGAGGGAGTCCATCCAGAACTGAGCAAAGGAATGATTTGCTCACACAATGTGCAATTGGCCTGTGGAACTCACCGCCACAGGATGCCACTGAGGGCCAGAACTTAGTGAGATTGAAAGAGTGGTGAGACAGTTCTATGGATAGAGTTTGGAAGGGAGGTGGACACTTGGATCAGGGCTCAGGCCAATCTCCACTGGAGACCAGGATGAGACATAGTAACAGGCTGTTTGTTAAAAATTCAGCAGTGCCAGGCTACGTGGCTTCGGTGCCCCTGGAGTGGGAAGTGGGCAGTGGCTTACGGGCTTTCGGTGGCCGCATCCCCTTCCGCTGCTTGATCGCCAAAAGGGGGCTGGAAAGGAGAGAGAAGGATGAATGCATTGCCTGGGGCTGCTCTCCGTTCCCCGCCCACCCCCCACGCTGCTCTCTGCTCCCCCTCACACCTCCTCTCCCCCCGCCTCGACGTCCATAGAGACCCCAGGGCGGGGCAGCCTCTCCAGAAATCTCTGCTCCTCCGGTGTGGACAAAACACTGGCACCGGCACCCACTGGGCACGGACTCAAGGGGAGAACAGCCGACGTGGAGAAAACACCGGCACCGGCACCCACTGGACATGGACTCAAGGGGAGAACAGCCGGCGTGGAGAAAACACCGGCACCAGCACCTGCTGGGCACGGACTCAAGGGGAGAACCACCGGCGTGGAGAAAACACCGGCACAGGCA